ACATACAAATTTTAGCGAAAAATCATTCAAAAAGGGGATCTTTATTACTTTTTTATCAAGATATACTTTATTTTTATAAGTGTGTCACAGACGACACAAAGGTGAACAACCACAACCTGATAAAATTTCTAAACAATATTATGATACCTATCAATTAATAATTTACATTTCATTATGAACTATCATTTGTTTGTTTGCTTTGTTTCAGTTTTTCTTTCAATATGTTTTTTTGTGTTTTTTTTTGTGTGTGTTTTTTTTCCATATTAATTTTTTTTTACATATGTATACAGTCAACCCTGTTCGTCACAGTTTCATATAATTACTCGCCAAAATGTAATACTAAAAATATATTAAGGATCGAGTGTATATACATAATATTTATGTTATATGAATTTAAGGCGCAATTACTTTATAAGTAAGCCGCCTACCAAAACCAACAACAACAGCAAGAATAAAATGTTTTTTAAAAACATAATTTATAGGTTTTTGGCATAAAAAGTAAATAATGATAAAACATAAGGTAAAAACTTGAAATAAGTTAAGAACATACAGAAAATTCAGATATGTATATGAACTTGAATCTTACTTAACAATAGGCTCAGAAGAGCAAAGACAATTATTTGTTAACCTAAGTTAGTGATCATAACCCGAATATAGAAAGGGGTAGATATCTGAATTTAGAAAATCAAGACAGGAAATGTAATTTATATAAAGAAACAGTAGAAGAGGATAGGCATTTTTTTATTAGACTGTCCTGTTCTTGAAAAATGTAGGAAGACATTCATCAATGATCTGAATTATGAATATAACAATTTTTTAAGCTTTCTTTAGAGAATAAATTTGTATGGTTAATGCCTCGTGTAAAGAAAGTGCCGCGCTCACTGCACGTTAAGAACCCTTGCAACAACTCTTTGATGGGTCCGTAGGTGGCCTGTTGCAAGGCGAGTTTCTGTCCCTATCCAATGTACCCCTATTTTCCTGGAGCGGTCCAAATTTTCCCTGACCTTCATCCCGGACGGCCTTTATTACAGGACCTACAATGTACCTATTGTATTTATTGTTAATTTGTTCTCGTCCTGAACATGCATGAAATATTTGCCACTGGACGTTAAGCAATCAACAACCAAGCAATCAACAATTGTATGGTTAATGAGTAATGAAGATAGTAATACTGTAAAACTTAAATCAAATATGATATCAGAACCAAAAGAAAATTGGGACTCACTACTAAATCAAACCCGCCTCTGAACTATGAGAATGAGAATGATGGAGTTGTCTCTCTTTGTCCAAATCTAGCTCGTCCTCAATAACAATTGTCGTATCTATTTTTATGATGTAGTAAAATCAATACAATTATCATTCTAATGAACCATTATTGTCTTATTAGTTTATTGTTTATTATGTTATGAATAATTACATTGTAATTAATCTGCCCTTCAAAGAGCACCTGGATTGGTCAATAAAATTCTGTTTCTGTATTCCCTCTAATGCATAGCAGTTGTTTGATATTACTGACATTATACAAATTGATTTTCTGAAAAAAATGTCGCTGACAATATTGTGGTGGTTTGCACCAGGTTTGACGGTACAAAACCTCTTCCAAAATGTAAAATGACTACCATATCCCTGATATAGAACAAGCAATATCCACAGAACGTGATCTTCATATATTACTCACATGGTGGTACAGTCAATTTTCGAAATGGTACAGGTAATTCAGGATGGGTTAACCAGTTTGCAAGCATTTTCAATTCAGACTTATTGGTGCTTCTAAGGTTAAAGCACAAGACACACATAAAGGTATCACACCATAGATAATCTCAAACCAAAAATAACCTTTAAAAGTTGTTTTCAGTATATACTCATACATATTAATTAAAGTTAAATAAAAAGTCTAAGGGACAAAGTATAAAGTTTCCTCATCAATATCATGAATTATACTTACTAGTATTAAACATAGAAACATGTTGACAAGGAGTTCATTGGAAAAGGAAATTAGAAACGACAACAGTCTACAAAACACTACACCTATACATAAAACTAACGATTGAGTTCAATGAAAATAAACTGGAAAATGGACTGAACTCAGGTGCTCCACTTTTGCCAATCGTCGTTGCTCATTTTCTAGTCTGCGATAGTCATTACAAGAATACGAGGACGGGATTGCTGACATGACAAATGGAACATATTAGTGACACATTTATACGAATTATCTCGATCCACCCAGAAATATCCGAGTCCACTCGTGTTTTGCCCATTTTGTAACACGGTGTTCAATGGAGATAATCAACGGGTTGGAACTTTTTTCACAGTTTGTGGGCTGGTGAATGCAATATTTTGACTTTTTCGGTAACGGTTAATATGGTAATAATTTCACGTCTCCTGATTTTTTATCATCTTCCATTTGTCTCTTTCACAATCAGTCATGTGTCAGAGCTATAAGATTACGATGTACTAATGGTTTAGACGAAAACATACACCAAATCCACTATAGCAAGTAAATTATTAATGTCATATTACTTGATATTAATCATCAACGAATTTTACAGGAGTAACACGACGGGTGTCACGACTGGAACAAGAATCCATCACCCCTCCGTAGCAGCCAAATTCTACTCCGGTTTTTGGTGAGGTTCCAGTTGATCAATATTATGTTCTCTGTGCAGTGTTTGTTAAATTTTATTTTCTTTTCTAACTTTTTATCTGGCCGCGGTGTTGTCTGTTTTTCTTTCGACTTTTGGTTTTAATTGTCACCCTCCCTTTGTTTTTAAATTTACTATGCATGGGAAAAGATTGGAGAAAATATCTGTGTAATTTAACTCTAGGGAATCTGAAGATTGTACATATGGTATGTCATGTCCATTTAGCGTAGGGGTCCTGCTTGAATCGATGTAGCATAATTGAAAAAAAAACAACGTAATCGTCAAAGTTACATTTTTTTACTCTTAGCCGTGTGTTTTAGATGTATTATTTTTTATCATGATTGAATGTTACAGAACTGATGTGATTCTCGGTGACAATTGCATTACACCAATAGAGATTCCGTACTCAGTGGTGCTCAAAAGTCCAGGTGTAATCATACATTTACACGTTAAGGGTAACCAATAGGAATCGCATTAGCAGCAAAATGCATTTCCAAGAATGTGGGATTAGAATTGCAACACCATCCCATTTACTGCACAAAAAAGACAAAAGATACCAAAGGGAAATAAAAAAAAAATCGAAGAAAAAGTGACAATTACATGATAAAAAACAAAAACGACACAAAGACAAACAACAGACCACAAAACACTACTAGTACATTGAAATCTGAAGACTGAGCAACACAAACCTCACCTAAAATCGGGGGTGATTTCAGGTGTTCTAGAAGGGTTAACAGAGCATGCTTCATATGTGGTACTCGTCGCGTACCTGTCCCAAGTAAGGAGCCTGTTATTCAGTGGTTGTCGTTGGTTACTGTCTGTTATATCTGTTTTTAGTTTTTTGTTTTGTCATAAGTCAGGCCGTCGTTTTTTGTTTTAATTGTTTAATTTTTTGTCATGTCGGGGCCTTTTATTGTTGACTATACAGCTCTACGGTATGGATTTTGCTTACAGTTGATTGCTATACGGTGACATATTATTACTTAAATCCTCGTCATTTGGACTACATGTAGTTGAATAGTTGTCTTATTGGCAATAACACCACATCTCCTTATTCTAAATAGTCGCCAAAGTGCGTGTTATAACTCTTGACATTTTTTAATACTTTCTCTAAAATCCTAGTTGAAGAAATTTAAACAGAATGGTTTAGGTATAGAAAAATATATTCGATTCAACTTCGAACAAAGATCGCTCTAATAACTATGGTATCATTCCCAATAACCAAACCACTCCTGCCCAGAGATACAATATTTCAGTCCGTCTTTAATGATGATGTTAACGTTTCGTTAACACTTTAAAAAGCGTTCAAGCTTATACCAAATGCATATAATTATGTTGATATATGACTTTAAATATAATTCAAATAAATATCAAAATATTCACTATAACACATTAAAAATATATAGTTATTAAAAGTTAAATTAGTTGGTTGGGGTCCATTTCTTCCGATGAAAAGCCTCCTTGTAGATTAAAGATTGAGAATAGCTGTGTTAAAATAACAAATGTTGCTGAATTTTCATAACAGAAATACGTTTTCACATGCGACTTACTTTTCGCGTAGTATCATTCATGCGAGTATATCTCACAGTTGATGTGGAATTCAATTGCTTGGGTTTGTTAGGGAGCTACCATTTGAATTTTATGGGGGTCTAGGAGGAAAAATTTTGTCCTGCATTTTTATTTTCCCCTCTATTCGGTCCTGCCTATTTATTTTTCACTCTATTCGGTCCTGCCTTTTTTTTTTAATTTATCCCGACATTTTTTTTACATAAATTGTCATCCTGCCTTTTTTTCTGCCAATAATCCCATCCTGCCTTTTTTTTTACTCAAAACTCCTGTCCTGCCTATTTTTTCAAATTTCATCCTAGCTTAGTTTTGTATTTTGTGCTCATTTTTTTTTACTGTTTAATGTTTGAGTTTTTTTTATCAGTAAAAGTCACGTCAATCGTTTGTCCTGAAACCGTGATTTCATTTCAAGCTTTCACAATTGGTCAAGTGTAAGGGTTTGGGAACTTACGTGTACCTATGATTGATGAATCTGATGATGCATTAGGATAAGACAAAGGACATTTATCAATCCGTTTTATTCGGAGGTTTGAAAATACCATGGGTGTTAAACAGAATACAGCTACATCATATTGTATGGTGCCTTGTCAAGGAAGTAGGATATGACTTTCAATGTTTTTGATAAACAAGAGTAAGACGACGGTGGCCCAAGAGGAGCAGAAAGTTATGAACCTTTTGGAATATCTAAGCTCAACATTAGTTGTAAGTGTTCCTCGATATTTTGTTTCCTGTGTTGTCGTCTTTTTTGGAGGGAATAATGAAGTGTAATGATATAAAATGGCACAAAAAAAAAAATAAAAAAACAATTGTTGTTGAAGGTTTCAAATATCTTTTTTGTCCTACCTTCGATATTTTGAAGACTTAGACTTCATGAGTCATGTAAAAATAATCTGATGTTAAAATTATCTTTAAGAAATGTTTCAACTTATTTCCAAAAAGAATTCTGCGAAATAGCACCTTAATTTACTCCCTTTTTACATAGCAATTGCTGGCTTCAGACTTGGCTGCTATGACAAACACCGACTTAGATTGCCTGAGCTGTACTTAGCACAACTTTTCTGAATTTTTGGTAGTTAAAGCTCTACAACTTCATAATCATTTGATTTGTCCTTCCAATTCGAGCGCCACTGACGAGTCTTATGAAAACGGAACACTTACAAAATTATAAGTCTGGTATATTTGATAAGCTTTTGTCTACAGTGAGGTTTATAATGTAGTTCCATTTACATCTATCCTTTACATATAAGTTTCCACGACATCTTCCATAGATTCTAACAGTTTGGCAAGCATCGATAGACTTTCTAAATTATGTGAACTGACACAAGGCAGTAATAAACAACAAATATAAAAAATACAGTCTTATTAAATCATAATGAAAAAAAAAAACGAACAGAAAATGAAAAATCCACGGAATGAATTAATCGGTGTGTTGTTCTAAAACATGAATATAATTTATGACACTAATATCTAGCAGTTGATTTTATGTTGAATCCTGTTTCACAGATGATTTTTTCAATTCCGTTAACGATTCTCGTTTCAATGTTTTTGGACTTTCCACGTCACTTCGCGACGGAGATGAAATCTTACTACAGTTTGATATGGGAGATAACTCAGTTAAAGACGGAGAGTCTGGAGATTCGGGGCTATTTTTCTTTGATTCCGATGAAGACTGTGGTCGTGGTCTTCGTTTTGCTTCATCTTTCTTCCATTTCATTCGTCGGTTTTGAAACCAAATTTTTATGTGTCGCTCAGTAAGATTTAACATGGCGGCAAGTTCTATTCTTCTAGGTCTTGAAATGTATTTGTTAAAATGAAATTCCTTCTCAAGTTCTAATAACTGTCCTCTGGTGTAAGCTGTTCGTGTTCGTTTGTTTTCATCTTCAATTGAGAACTGTGCCCCTGAAACAATAAAATAAATCACATAAATACTAAATGAGATATTTTAAAACAAAACCATAAACGCTATAAAAAAAAAATTGACAAAAAAGTCACTGAAATTTTTGAAATATGACGATGTTACCCATAGACTGCCTAAGCATCCGTAAACAACATCACTATTGTAAACGTTTGTGCTTATAATACGACTCTGAGATATATATAGTAATATTGGCAGGCGCATTACATTTGCGCGCATTTGGGGATTAAATTTATTTACTTTTGTGTACAGCTTTTTATTACATTTGTTTGCATTCATTTTACAGGTAACTATAAAGATAATTCATAATAAATATGTTGAAAGTTAAAAATTTTGATCATATTTATATTTTAAATTATATATTTTTCTTTTCAACTCTTTAAAAAATATACATTAAGTGATCAAGAGAAATCCAGTAATCACTTAAGGCTCGCTATGTTTTTACATCTTTATATACAACCAGGACTTAGTGCCTGTGCTTAATAACAAGTTCTTATCCTGCTCGAAACCCCCCCCCCCCCCCCCCCCCCCCAATCCATGTTCTAGATGGTGAGCAGGAGAACTAGTCAATAGATAATACTTAAATAAATAAGTATAATTTACGTGGGCTTTCCTAACTTTACCTCACTAGTGATTACCTGTAAAATAAATGCGCGCAAATGTAGTCAAAAACTGCGCGCAATCGTAATGATTTTTATGAGCAAATGTAATAGTAATGCGGGCAAATGTAATGCACAGATATTGGCGTGTTGGTCAGATTATGACAATGGGATTTAACACAGCCAACAGGTTGGATTCTGTGCATTCAAGTTCTCAGAATCGTATTATAAGTACAAACGTTTACAATAGTGATGGTGTTTATAGAGCCCGTAAATTTAGATACAAGTAAGACCCATGTGACTTATTGATCCTTAGAATAAACTTATTTTTAAAGGTTATCAATTTAACGCTGTAGTATATTCTTGGACTATCGGATTTAACATGGGTTTTGTTTTTAATGAATTAACAAAATAACTAACTATATATTGTTATTGAGTTATGGATACTTATGGTCCTACATCCTGTCGATACATACAGTTTGGCCTTGGTACTTTTTGTTGCTTCGTGCCGATCTGAGGATCAAACCCTTTTCAAAAGAGAGGCGAAAGATACCAGAGGGACATTCAAACTCATAAGTCGAAAATAAACTGACAACACCATGGCTAAAAAAGAAAAGACCAACAGACAAACAATAGTACACGAAACACAACATAGAAAACTAAAGACTGAGCAACACGAACCCCACCAAAAACTGGGGGTGACCACAGGTGCTCCAGAAAGGTAAGCCGTTCCTACTCCACATGCGGCACCCGTCGTGTTGCTCATGTTAGTACAAACCCGGTAATAAGTCAAATTCGGTAGGTCACATTCGGGAAAAGGGGCACGGGATTGTAGTTACGACATTAGGAACATATCCGCTATCATCTGTGAAACGGATATTCCATGACGATCAACCAACTCGTGATGGCGTCCGTAAAACTAATGAAAGGACGATTTCAACTTCACCACTTAGAACACTTGGTTTGATAGCTTCCTTTTGAGCTACAACCCTCTATCAAGGAAATCATGATAGGAAATACAATCCTTGGAATATCGTATCAACTGGGACTTATACACTCCATATGCAGGCGCTGCTGGAATGTTGCTACATAGAAATAGAAAGTTCACAATTGGGAAGCTGAAAACATCTCTTTTGTCGTAAAGTTTTGCTTTCAAAACCGACCCTCATTGTCAATTTGTAGATGAAATTCAAGATATGAGGCAGACTTAACTGTATCTGTTGTATCCTTTATCTCTAGTTCGATGGGATAGATGCGTTCAACATAATCACCAAATTTTGAATTATTTAGTGAGAGAACATCATCTTTATAGCTGAAAGTAAAGTTAAAGGATACGCTAACTTCTTTTCTTTCTCCCTAAGAAGTTCCTGTATGAAGTCAGCCTCATACGAATAAAGGAGCAAGTCGTCAAGAAGAGGGGCAGTTTGTTACAATGGGAATGCTGATTGTTTGTTGAAAAACACGACCTCCAAACGTAACAAATATGTTGTCAATCAAGAAATCAAGCATCTTGATAATGTCAGTTTCAAAGAATTTTTTGTTTGAATCAGAGTATTTTTTTTTAACAAAGTAGGATTTATCCCTCCCTAAGACAAGATACTTGTATCTACGTTGGCCATTCTTTTTTATGAAACAAAGCAGGACCAACTCTTTCAATTTGTCTTTTAGTTTGGAATGGGGAATACTTGTGTAAAGTGTAGAAAAGTCAAAAGTTTTAATACTATTGCAAGATGAAAGAGTCTTAGATTGTATGTACTCTAAAAGATCTTTGGAATTTTTTAGTATCCACTTCTGATTCACGCCACCTCTAGACTAGTTAGTTTCACAATAACTTTGAAGTCCGGCTTTGATTGCTGATTGATGTTAATAATTTAGAAAGAGGTTTCGTGGAGCACTTGGAAGACCCAGCAATATACCGTTTTTGTTAGGACACTTGTGTGGTTTAGGTATCCAATACAGTGATGGAAGATCCAGTTATTCATCTTTGGTTGAAATTCCAAAGGAACATAGAACGGACCTATGATTATCCAGGATTTCCTCTTTAGTAAGTGTCATGGGGTATATGCTGAGTTTCCAAGTGAATTGTAAATACCTAATTCATTTATCAAGCAGTTTATGTAATGTGATTTACACACAAAAGCGATATTGTTGGGGCTTTATCTGCGGGGACAACAACATATTTGTCATGGAGGTAGGACAAGTGTTTTGAAACATTTGGGTAAAGATTAATAGCATGGGTATTAATAGACCGATTCAGTTTCTTAAATCTGTAATCAACGACCTCACAGTCTTAATCCATTCGGAAAGAGAATCTACGTCTTCTCTCTCGCGTTTAACCCATTGCCTGGCATAATCCTCGACTGAATCCATCAGTATTTTAAAGTTGTGTTTCCAATTGATGGATTTAGGCTCACGATATTTCGGGCCTTTGGATAACACATTTCGCAGAGAAGTCTTATTGACAATGTTAAGGTCACCGATAATAACGTGGCCAGCCGGATTATATATGAATGGGGAACTAGCACATGTGCAATAAGGAGGTTAAGACTTGAAGAAGTCGTCAATATTGAGATCCTGCAACACGTGTTTGTAATTGAAAATTTTAGTTGCAATTGGTTTGGTATAGGTATAAGAAATGATAGGTACAGATTGATCTTTAAAATAGGGAGGTACTTTCAATTGAACTGATATACGATGAAGGATATTGCCCAAGTTGATGGCATCGAGACCTTTGTTGGCAAAAGAAATTTAAGAAAGGATCTTTCCTCCTTTTCATCTTTTCCAATGCGAACTGGTTTGAAAAATCTGTGACTTGCAATATCCAAAATGATGGCTGTAAGTTTGTATTGGTTTGAATGAGGGCTAGTAACAGTGGTTTCCAAACATAAGTTGTACAGAGAATGAAGTTTTGAAAGAGATATTAAATGAATAAAGCTTCGTGCGAATGTGATGAATACCTAACGGCTTTTGTATAAATGGCAGCAGGTCATTAATAGAGACATCATCGAGAGTAGGTGATGTATAATGACGATGACGATGACTGCATCTACGTCGAGGAGTAGAGTTGAAAATATTCATCACATTCACCGACCTACAGAAAGGACTAGATATAATACCTATACTGATTTTTACAGTTTATTGTTATGTTGTACATATATATACAATATATGTACATTGTCGGAAAATATAAAAAAAAATTGTATGAGCTTTAGAAACAAGACGAAAAGCGATGCTCGGTTTACTCCTGTTTTGTAGCGAGTACAATTACATTTTATATTTCCGAAGGTGCATTGTTTTTATCCTGTTATTTACACCCGGCACTTTAAGGTTTAGTTGTTCATATCCAAAAAGTTGTCTCTGATTTTTCAAAGAAATCGACAAAGAACCACAAAATGATGTTTTCCAAAAAAGAAATATTCACACTAAACCACTGAATGTTAGTTAAATGTTCTTTTGGTTGTGATTGTGATTCTGTGGGATATTTGACCTTATTAAGTCAAAGTTATGCATAGAACCAATGTGACCTAAAGCAGGATCCTTATTGATGAGGCATTATATAACACACCTTATTACCGGCTATCGTTATGGCAGGTAAAATAGGTTCCGTGTTCCCAATTGCTATTAATACAAAGCTGGTAATATGGTGTGAATAAAAAGGATGAATATGAAAAATTGAGGGTACAAACTGACACAAAATGAGAATTATTGTGCTCAGACATATTTAATTTTTATGCAGCTCTGAAAGTTGATACACATAAAGACCACCGTTTTCCATTTTACGTCTTGTTGCTTCAACTGTTCTTTAACTGGCTCATAACTTTCAAATTGCCAAATTAGAAAGTAGTATAAAACTCAAAATTTTAAATTTCTAGTACTTCTGTAATGTAAATTTTCTGAACGAGATGAAATTGTTTCACGGAATTCCAAACCACATTACATACATTTTTTATGTAAATACAATGTAAATATTTGCTTTGACGTACACATGACAGAATTATATATTTTATAACAAAATATTTATTAGAGTTAAAAGGAACAGACAAGTATCAATATCGTGTTGTCAAGAACACCGAGACATCGGACAAACTTGTAAACAATAGTCAAGCATCCTAATACTTCACAACAAAGAAACGATGCATTGACCGTGGTCAACATGTTCTAATCTTATGTACACAGTGATGTTTTGACAAACAGTCCAAGGTGAGGTGATAATCCATTAGTACATTCCTAAACCACAAACACTAAATCCGAACTTAATTTCTAAACAAGTAGTACCAAAATTCACAATTTCTGTGTAAACAAAGAAGATACATTTTTAGTTAACAAATCTTTTATTTGTAGTTCCCACATATATTTCGTAAACGGTTTACAATAGAAGTAGATTA